TGGGTGTGTGTGTGTGTGTGTGTGGGTGTGTGTGTGTGTGTGTGTATCAGTGGGTGGTGACAGTTTAGAGTGGTGTCACTGCTGAGATCTTGACGAGATAAAATGGCTTTCATGTGGGAGAGAGGTAGCTGTGCCTCTACTGCTGATAAGACCGGTCTCTTGACACCAAAGTACACTCATGTTGATATGGTTTGATGTTTTTCTCAGTATTTTTTATTTTTTTTATAATCTTGCCATAATGTTCAGGTGCAGTGTATTTTTTCCTCTGCAACAACAACATATATGTCCTTCTAGATGACAGTGGGATTATTGCAGCTCTGTGGCAAACAAATGTTTTGTTCAGCAAGATAATCTTCACAAACAAAACACCAGATTTATGATTTTTCAAAACATAAATCCAATCACCAGCAATAAAATGATAACTTTGGTCGTGTCAATTTAGTACGTACTTATTTTAAACTGCAGAGCGTCACCAAAGGTATAGACACGAGGACATCGTGTAGTTAGTTTGCAGAAGTTGACTCCCAAGGTGTGTGATTGGCTCTGGTTAATAGTGTCTCTGCAGTTGTGTGGTTTCCCTCAGAGCATAATTCACAAGTGTCCTCTATACTTATAGCAGCCTGAAGATGAATCCCTAATGCAGTTTTACCTCCACTGCATCCACACAAGGCAAAGAGCAGGGTTATCTCTGAGCTTCTCTAAAGTGTTTCTGCGTCTTACATCATGGGCTCCACATAGCTTTATTTGTGTCAAGGTGCTACAGCTGAGCGGTTGGGTTTTCAGGTTGCGTCTGTAACACCATCGACGTACAGAAGTGACAGGATGACAGCGCTTTGAGCATATATACATGCCGGGTGTTGCGGAGAATGTTTGAAGCCAACAGACTCGGGTCTTTTGTTCAATTCGTGCAGTAAGATGACTCTTTTGATATTTAGCCCGGTTTTCTTTGGTCTGTCAGCAGCCAGCTCTTTCTTTTAGGTTTGTGCCTCTGCTCTTCTGGAAACAATAAAGACAATATGTTCTGGTATACTGAGGTGAATGCCTGTTATGAGACAAGAGGAGTTTGGTTTGGATCTGCGTCAAGATTCTACCTGCCATAAAACAAACAAAACGACACTATTTTATAGTTTTGAAAGTAGCTGTTTTCCCTGAAGAACCTTTTGATTGAAATGCATAACTTCAGTCTTCGCCCCTCGGGGAAAATGCCCAAAACCCCCACTAAGTCGATTCCATTATACAGTGTGGAGGACTTGCAGGCTCATTTTTAATGATTTCCTCCTTTTGTTTAATGAGGGAATTCAATCAGCTTTGTGTAAACTCCAGACACTGTTTCATTACCGGAATTTATCATACGTGAATGTAGGAAGAGAGAGGAAAGCGGCTGTGCGAATACTAATTTTGAAATTAGCCCATGTTGGTCTTCCTCTCTGTTCCCCTCTCTCCAGCCATCCCTCACGTCTCCGCTATAGAAGAGTAAATAGATTTCAGTCGGCTGCTTCGGCAGACCCACCATCAGTAAATAAGACAGCGTGGCCCCGGGGCCGTGTCGCAGCCGTTTCCAACTCCTATAGAACGTGATGTATGATGATAATATTAGCCTGACCTGGAGTGTTATGCAATGAAGCCGCTCTCTGTACCGGAGGATGTTTCCCTGATACACGGTAACCTGGATTTCAGGTTCAAATTAAACAAATGCAAAACTTTGCCAGCTGTAGTTGGAAGGTTCAGGATGTGAACATGAGACTTTTCACTAGACTTACTCCATGAGGCATGCTTTACTCTTTCTTCTAATGAAAGAGCCAAGTTGTGCTTCCGGTGAAAGTAACAAAAGTTTCAGGTTATCGTGTTAGCGATGCTAGCGTCTGGACTTTAAAGATTAGTTGTTTTTTTTTACCGTAAGATAGACAGCTGGGATGGGAATAAAACTAAAAACTATCAGCTGCTCGTTATGTTTAATATTTATGTTCTTCAACATGCGCCTGGAAATTGAAATGTTTCCTCCTTTGGTGTTGCAAAGAAATCATCAACGTTTTTAAATGACTTCTTTTGTCTGACCAACAGTCCAAATCCCAAAGATATTTGTTTATTATCCCTAAATACAAAGGATAGCAACACATTTTCAAAATGAAGATGGAAAAAGGGAATATTTGCTGATTTCTTTCATGCATTTTTTAAATGTGGTATTGACTAATCAACAAATCATTTCAGCTGAGGTAAAGACTAAATTCAGTACTCTTAAATCATTTATATATTATCATTTTGTGGCTAACTCGATCTTCAGAACTATATCAATACAACATATGCCGTACTCTTATTTACATAACATCTTGATGCTCATGACAACTGCTGGAGATCTGTTTCGTGATTAAAAACTGCAGGATGGATCTGTTACGTCCAGCTTCGGACTCGACGATGTCTTTCTTTCAGCCTGGACATCCCACATATATTTAGAAGAGGCTGACCTCAACTCTAACTTTTAACTCACAGACACTACCAGCCATAGATCTCCCCAAAATGTTGGCAGGCAACTATATTTATCTTCTCAACCAACTGCTTTGGCAGACATCCAAGCAGGATTTGTTTCATCAAACAGTATTACAAAATATGCTTTTTTTTTTTTTTTTTTTTAAACCTAAACACTTCAAAAGGTAAAGAGCAAGAGATATGAGCCGGACGCAGTGTGCTTGTAGTCTCGTGTTAGCACTGACGGTCTCGTATCTAAATAAAAGCGTCAGAAGGAAGAGTACAGGTCCTCTAACTATTTGACAAAGTGGTTAAAAGGTCAAGATGCTTATTAAGTGACTCTAGATGTGTAACTCATTTGTAATAGCAAGTGAGTGCCAGCAAACATAAATTGGAGGAGACGATCAAATCAAATCACACCGTCCTGATGAAGAGGACTTTGACTTATTCCGTTTTGAATAGTTCATGTTCTACAGAAACATGTCACATTTACAACTGAGGTTTCTGGGACTTAAAAGCAATTTGTCCATTGACCGTACACAAGACGTGAACGTAGTCGGCGTGACGTCATCCGTTGGTCTGTGGAGTCTGGCGTTTTGGCCGACGCCATCTTGGTTTTTTGACGTGAGAGGGTGGAGCTAAGTACAACACTAAGCAAGACGTTTGTAGGCGACCAAAATGTTTCAATTAACTTTCATGAACTCTCTGACCGGACTATTCTGTGGTAGTGACCTGTCAATCACGAGGCAGCCACGCTGTAACAAAATACCCTGCTCTGTCTACTTTATTTTAAATGGGACCATATTTAACTAACATCATGCTGTATATATGCAATCCCTTATTTTACAACCAGAAGAGTCGCCCCCTGCTGGCCATTAGAGAGTGACTGTAAAGTGCTTCACCATTGTCTTCACTTTGCGGAACCAGAGGACTGAATTCTAGATAATGTAACATAACTTTTATATTTATTTTATCCTATATCATATAGTATATTAATAAACACTACAGGATGATGATAATAATATATGTTTGTGCAGATAATCTGACTCGCAAAGAGAGTCGATTAGTTTTCTACAGCATCCGTATCTGTGACTTCTGACAGGATAAACTATTTAGGTCCTGGTTTTCTTCAATGTCAAAAATGACAATCAATAACACTAACCTCCTTGATTGGGTAACTGAAGGGCAGACCGATTGCTGTTCCTAGATCTGCTTTCTTCGTTGGATTTTTGAAGGACAGTGTTTTATTGGGCAAGATGTTATATTCTGTATATTCACTTTTTTAGCTAAAATAAGAAAACACCTATAGGCGAAAGATGGCGTCCATCGCTCCTCCTGTCGTCTCCAATGTCCCTCTCCGTCTCTTAGCGCTCAACTCTGCCCTAACAGAACAGGTACATCTCCCTGTTTCTGAAGCCAGAGCAGCCTGAATCCCGTTTAGGCTGCACACACACACACAGTCTGAATACTGTGCTTCAAGGAGAGGGGTGGGG